TGCTGCTGGTGTTGCTGCTGGTGGTGCTGCTGCTCTTGCTGCTGCTCCTGCTGCTGCTGCTGCGGCATTGAGGAGCCCTCAGTGCTCCTACGGCCCCCAGGGGCCCCACCTGGGGGCCCCTGCTGGGCGGATGTCCTCACAGGGCCCGCCCCGGTGTCTGCTGCACCGTCTCCAGCAGCAGCAACCGCAGCAGCACCCGGCTGCTGCTGCTGCTGCTGCGGCTGCTGCAGATTTCTGGCTGCAGCATTCTGAACCTTTCTTCGTTCTCTCTTCGTGCCCTGCTGCGTTGAAGCCGCAAACTCCCCAAAGTTTGCCCGGCGGGCTGCGCCTGCTGCTGCTGCTGCTGCTGCTGCTGGTGCTGCTGCTGCTGCACCTCCTCCTGCCTCGCCAGCTTGCTGCTGTGGTTCCTGCTGCTGCTGCACCTGCTGCTGCTGTACCTGCTGCTGCTGCGCGCTATCTGCCTGCGGTGTTGCGCTATCCGGTTGGGCCGGCGCTGCACTGCTGCTGCTGCTGCTGCTAGAGGGCTGCTGCTGCTGCTGTTGCTGCTGCTGCTGCTGTTGTTGCTGCTGCTGCTCGGCCTGCGGGGCAGGTGTTGTTTCTCCTCCGGGCGGAGGCGCAGGAACGGTAGCAGGCGGTTGCTGCTGCTGCTGCTGCTGCTGCTGCTGCTGGTGCTGCTGCTCCGTCAGAGAAGGGTCGCCATTAATTACTCTCCCTGTCTTAGGGTCCCTGATCTCCAACGCATTCTTCTTACGGGGCCCTGCCTGCTGCAGCGGGTGCTGTTGCGGCCGGTGCTGCAGGGCCCCCGAGGGGCCCCCCCACATCTCACCGTAGGCTGGGTAAACCGCGAGGGGGGCTCCATAGGCACCTGCGACTAAGGGGACAGCATCATAACGGTAGCCTGCTGCTGCTGCTGCTGCTGCTGCTGCAGCAGCTGCTGCAGCACCGTGGGGGCCCCCCACGTGGTGGTGTTGCTGCTGCTGCAGCGCCGCATCGCCCACACCAGGGGGGCCCCCTCTGCCGTATGTATGATGGCCGTGAGGGTCTAAGTGCAAGGGATGGGGGGCCCCCCCTCTCTCTGCTGCTTGCTCCTGCACATCGCGTACTTGCAGCAGCAGCAGCTGCTGCTGCTGATGGTGCTGCTGCTGCAGAGCCTCGCCAGGGTGATGAGGCCCTTCAAAGCGAGCAGGGGGGCCCCCATGGTGGGGGCCCCCAGGACCCTCGCCGAGGGGCCCCGGTCCTGCTGCTGCTGCTGCAGGACCCAGCAGCATGGGAGCAACCCTACCCGCCCCGTGCATCATTGCTGCTGCTGCTGCTTGCTGCTGCTGCTGCAGATGGTGAGGATCGTATGGGTGCGCTACGGGTTGCTGTTGCTGCTGGTGGCCGTCGGCAGCTGGAAGCTGCTGCTGCTGCTGTTGCTGTTGTTGCTGCTGCTGCTGCTGTTGCTGCTGCTGCCCGCCTCTCCCCCTCAAGAAACTTTGTTGCGGGGGCCCCCCCATCATGTGGTGAGGAGGCAGCGGTTGCTGCTGCTGCAGCTGTGCTGCTCCTGCTGCTCTCTGCATATGATGGGGGCCCCCTTGTGCGGGGCCCCCCATATTGGGGGGTGGGAGGGCTTCAGGGTCTGGGGCCCCATGGGGGCCCCCGTACCCTCCTGAATGAGGGTACGGCTGCTGATGCTGCTGGTGCTGCAGCTGGGGGCCCCCCCCTGGGGGCCCCTGGTGGTTATGATGATGAAGGGGGCCCCCCCCGCCTCCTCTGTAGGGCGCGCCGGAACGTCCGGAGCCCCCATGGTGGTGATATCCTCTCGTGCTGCAGCAGCAGCAGCAGCAGCAGCAAACACAAACATACATATAATATATAAAACATATATTATATATAATATAAATATATATGCAGGTGTTATGTGTATGCATATTGCGTGGATATATCTTGAAACAGATGCACTAGAAATATAAATACAAATAACATAAAAATATATGTTTATGTATATACATATGCATGCATATATATATATATATACATATATATATATATGCATTATACATATATGCATGTAAATTCATATAAAAGGTATATACATATATAATATACACATACAAATAGATATATATCTATATAAATAAACATATACACATATATGTATATATATATATATATGTATATATGTACATATGAGTACTCAACGTTAGTTATATTGTAGAGAAAATATATAAATGAATATTCTACGCACAATGCATCAAATCCTCGTGTACAGGCATCTAATCTAAATATAAACATTAATAAATAAATATATATATAAAATATATATATATAAAGATAATTCAAACATAAGAATACACCCTAAGCACTAAGATATCGTCGGGTGTACGTACAGCATTATACATGCATAAATAAATATAAACGTATATACATACATATACATATATACATATATTTATTAAGATATTATATAAATATATATATATATATATTATATGCATTAAAAATATATACAACAAAGCATAATATAAATCAAGTACATTATACACCTCAAATGAACAACGCCACATATATATATATGTATTATATATATATTATATATATACTATTTAATATACGCAGTACACTTACTATATGTCTAAGCAATATAAAAATAAATAAATAAATATATATATATACTGTGTAGACAATATACATTGGTTGCTGTGTATATACAAATGATATTAATATAAATGTAAGTAAAGTATATAATATTAATATTATATCAAACGCTCTAATGAACAAACAAATGCAGCAAATAACATAAGCACATCATAGAGTACAGCATAACAAATAAACAAAGCAGAAAATAATAATAACTCCTCAAGTGTAGAGACTGAAGGATATTATGCATGCATGCATTAATTATTTCTAGAAATATAATTTATAAAAACAAACAAATGCAGCAAAAGTCCGCTCACCGCCCCCCAAATTTTCCCCCGCGCTGGCGAGGGAACGAAGGAGGGTCCAGAGGAGACGACATTCTGCTGCTGCTGCTGCTGCTGCTGCTGCTGCTGCTGCTGCTGCTTCTGCTGCTGCAAGGGAGCCCCTAGCGCCGTGCGGCTCTGGCTGCTGGCTCTCCTGCGAGGAGCATCCTATGAGACACGCCAGGTGCGCCTAGATGCCTCCACTCTGCTGCTGCTGCTGCTGTTGCTGCTGCTGCTGTTTCTGCTGTTGCTGCTGCTGCTTTCTGTTGCTGCTGCTGCTGCTGCTGTTGCTGCTGCTGCTGCTGTTCGTGCTGCTGTTGCTGCTGTTGCTGCTGTCTACGGCTCTGCAAATGCTTCTGCACTGCGGCACCGGTTACAACCTTCAGAATGCTGCAGCAGCAACCGCACACACAAGCAGCACTAACCCTAACACCCTCTAAACCCCCTTTGCTTCCCTTCCGATTAAGCAAGCCCTGCTGCTGCAAATGGGATTAGGGGGCCCCCAGGGGCCCTGGGGCCCCCAGTGGGTCGCCGTGGGGGCCCCCGCGTTGAAGCCTCGCAGAACCGCCTGCGGGCCCCTCAGGAGCAGAGCTGCTGCTGTTGCTGCTGTTGCTGCTGCTGCTGCTGCGGATGCGGATGCGCTGCAGGCGTTTACCTCAATTGAAACTGCAGATATCTCTGAGAGAGCTTTGCTACAAACGAAGAAGAAAATAGCAGCAGAGATAACGGGGGCGGCTGCTGGTTGGGGCCAGTGGCAGGGTGTCTCACGCGCGAGACAAGCTGCTGCTGCTGCTGCTGCTGCTGCTGCTGCTGCAGCAACCACAATGAAGCAAAAGAAGTTAAGCAGCCTAACGGGGCAGTAGCAGCCCGCCAATCCAACTCAGCTGTACAGACAGCAGAGAAGCCCAAGAGGCTGCAGGGGGTAAGCTGCTGCCCCCCTCTTATTTACTGCTCGCCTCTCTCTCTCCTTATTTGTCTGCTGCTGCTACATAGAAAGCAAACTTGTGCTTAAAACCGTCAAAAATAGACCTGCTGCTGCTCTGGCCGTGCTTGCCCTCCAGCACCGTTGCTGCTGCTGCTGCTGCTGCTGCTGCTGCTGCTGCTGCTGTAGGCTGGATGCCCGCTGCTGCTGCTGGGCGTTGCAGTGCAGCAGCCGAGAGCCTGCTCAATCTCTGCTTCTACACAAACAAAATTAAAAATTATATCCTTTCAAAAACATTAATTTAGATATTCCGTTTTAAACAGCTTTTCTTAAACCGATCTCGTCTCTTACAACCCAATTTACACTCGCTGCTGCTGCGTGCGGGGCCAGAAGCCAGCCAGCTGCTGCTGCTGCTGCAACAGCAGCAGCAACAGCAGCAGCAACAGCAGCAGCTGTCGCTGCCGCTGCTGCTTACACCGACAAAGCTCCTAGATACTAGCAACAATAATCTATTATTCCTTGTTCTTTCATTGTTCTGTATCTACTCAGTATCTACTTAGCCCCTCTCTTACCCCTTCTACTACTGGGTTACGGCTGTTGTCTCAATAAACTGCTGCACGCAGCTTGTGGGGCCCTCCCCCCTTTGGAAGGTCACCATGCATGTGGTGTATGCATACATTGAACGTGCTGCAGCTGCAGCAGCTAATCTCGGGCTAGTAAGCCCATAGACATACAGTAGACAGACAGACAGCCACACCGCAGCTAGCTGCTGAAAGCAAACCACTGGGGGGCCCCCCGTTACATGTCTAAGGGTTCATAATGTGCAGGAGGCTGCTGCAGCCCTCTTGCTGCCTTTGGAGCAGCTTGCTCGCTTGTCTAGAGTGAAAAGAATGCTGGAGGGTATAGGGAGAAGTGCTGAACTGTTGTGTGCAGCAGCACTGTGTCTTAGCTGTTGCTTTCGCGCTGCTTGCAGCAGATCTGTTTATACTTAGCCCGGGGCCCTCGTGGGCTGCAGCATATTCAAAATATTTAAGGAAGAAGTGAAGCCTTGAGGCAGCTGTTGGCCTCTTCTCTTGTCCCCTGCGGCACAAGGAGCTCGGGCTACGGTGGAGATGAGTAGTTGCAGCACCACTTGCTGCAACTACTACAGCACTCCTTGCTGCAACGCCTGCAGCAAAACAGCCCCAAATGCATGCGTAGTCAAACCCCGCTTTGATGCAGGGGACAACACTGCAGACAACTGTTAGACAAGCACTTGGCTTGCAGGAGCCAACCTGTATACAAATGGAAGTGCATGCACATTCATTTCGGAGAGGCCTTGCTGCATCTTCTTCCCCCTCTTTCCCCAAACAACTCAATCGCACATGAGTTTGTTCTCCCTACAAGAGACGAGTTCATCAAAGGAAGGACAGTTAACCGGGCGAGACGCCCGAGCTTAGTGCTCACGAAGGAAGAGTAGACAGGGAAAGAAGGCAAGCAGCATCAGCGTATGCTGCTGAGATTCGCTGCTGCCACTACCTCCGGCCTCCCTTCGCTTGTAGTAACTGTGGCCTGCACAGTAGCCCGTGCGGTTCTGAGTGCCTTGGGCTTGGGTAGAGAGCTGCGCTACACTGGAGGCACTTGAAACCAAAGCAAAAATAAGAAGCTAACTGCTTGCGACGAGGTGCATGAAAGCGGGAGGCTGAATGTAAGCCGATCCCCAAAAAGGATATTAGTGCAAAAATATCAAAAGGTGAAGGCTTTGAAGTTTTTGTCGGCTCACTGGAGGCACTTGAAACCAAAGCAAAAATAAGAAGCTAACTGCTTGCGACGAGGTGCATGAAAGCGGGAGGCTGAATGTAAGCCAATCCCCAAAAAGGATATTAGTGAAAAATATCAAAGGGTGAAGGCTTTGAAGTTTTTGTCGGCTGAAGCGCTGGGCTACCCATCGGGAGAGGAAGGGGTGCATATCAAGACCAGGAAATTATACGTGAGTGCACGTAATCATGTAGGCCCCGCTATGCATGTGACAGTATAGCTGCACCATAAAAAGTTTGTATGCCCCCCTTTATTTGAGCTGCGCTGTGCACGCCTACGCACGCAATAGCCTCCGGTTTGCTGCGCAAGACGCGTACTCGATCCTGAGGATTGATTGTCTTCTCTCAGGCGGCCCTCAGAAGCTTAATTCCTTTGTCTAGTTGATAGCCACTTAGCCACTTAATGTAATATTCTTGACTTTTGAGGCCTCTGCTAGCCACTGCTCGTGAGTGCAGGGCCTTCACATCCTCCAGCTGTTCCCCCCAGAAAAGTTATTGCTGCCGCTTTGTGCAGAGCCTTTGAGGAGATTTCGATGATTCCCTGAGCCGCTTCACAACGCTGACTTTAATGGTGTGATGATACCTCTATCTTGGGACCAAGTCTACGATGCAGGCCAAAACTGCGTTAGGCCGAGAACGAACAGCAAAGGGCCCTCCCGAGCACAGTGCAGCAGCACAGTGTGCTGCTCGCTCTTTTGGGCTCTTCACAGGGCATGTGAAACCATTAGAATCAATTCTATTTAGCTAAAGGTCACTGCCAAACGCTGCTTGCCGTTGTTCCTTACTTGGTGGCCCTCTTCTTCCTTCATACATTCCTGGATATGTGCAAGCTGTGCACAGTGCTCTCACTAGTAAGATGAGGGGAATCGCGAACAACTCTATCAGAAGTCGTTTCACGCAGCGCCGTTTATGCGTAGACTTGAGGAGCCACG